CTTTCACTGCCAATTGCCATCCAATAAAGACATTTTAAAACTTTAATGTGTTGTAAAATACAGTTAACAAGAATGATTAGAAGAACTTGGAAATAATGGAGAAATATACTAGACTCATAAATTAAATAGCATTTTTAATTTGTCAAACTTTTTGGAACTTACATAACTTCCCACTAGTTGAATTTAGAAAAAAGTATTGGTCAAAACTCCCACAAGACCTTTTTAATGTAATTTTCTACTCTAAGTGTGGAATACTAATTCTTTGTGGGTAACTAATCATGTTTCACTATTTTGTATCTCGGGTTGCACTCCAGTTACATGATATAGCAGTAGTCATGAGAACAGCCAAAAGCAGTATGCCTGATGGTATGGGAGCAAAGTGGCTATGCTGCAGTGGAACTGTGTCTGAATTTCTTTCCTCATTTAGAAACTCATTGTTTCTTAAAATTTACAAGTTCAAAATTTCATAAACTGAGTGCTTTCTGCATGCAATCAAGTAATCTACATTATTAATAATTTATGCATTTGAAGAAAAACATATTGGTTAAATAATTTTGTCTGGCTAAACCATGTAAGTAGTTTTAGATATATTTGAATCTTTAGCTCTCTGTTTCCAGCAATTAATTACAGAAAGTAATGCACAAATACTGTTTGATACATGGTCTTCATCGGTAATCAAAAATTGAGGATCTGTATCACTGGTGGGAAAAAGAGCAGTCAACATCTGCATTGTACAAATACTGCTTTTGCACTTCAAAACATTACTAAAACATAAATGTCTGCATAATTTAAGCTTGTTACTGTCATAAATGTACGTTTTACCTAACAAAGTGCAAGCTAATGCAGAGTTGTTTTGTTTTCAGAGTGATTATGTTGCTTTACCATTAATTCATGTGTGCACTGTGACAAGATGTAATGGCGTATCATGTTGCTTTAATGTAATGAATCCAGTACTCCCAGCTCTTAAGTCATGTTGCTGGAAATGATTACACAAAACAGAAATGACTGTGAATAAAGCCCTTGCAAAGCTTTAGAACTCCTGCACATTATAAGAAGCTTTTTGGGGGGTGGTTAGAGTAACTTCTTAAAAATTTACTGTAGGCTTCTCTTGGTAAAATTTTTACTCTTTTCTGACTATTTTTTGCATTCCAGTGAAATTTCAATTATCTTTCAAGCATTGTAAGGGCTGTGCTATAATTTTGTGCAGATGTATATGTTAAGTGAACATGATGTGCTTATTTGTTACATTTATGCTACTTTTCTTTCTTTATCTGGATAAGATGGATGAAATTATGTATTAAACAAAAACATCAGTCATTTATCCATGACCATTCTCTGCAGGTCTTGTAAGACTGTAAAGATTGCTTTTAAAACAAAGGTGATTGCAAAGGTTTCTGAGTATTCTCTAAATGTCGAAACCATAAAACTTAAAGTTCTAAACTATTTTAATTTCACCCTGTTCTTCCTAAGACTCTGGCAGCTTTTATCTGAGTTGATGTACCTTGAGCAGAAAGTTCACCATTAATTCACATACTCGGCATTTGAGGAAGTAAGGATAATGTATCTTCTAAGAATGACCTTACTTCAGAAAAAAAGTCTCAACTTCCCCATTTCTGTTAACTTTTCTTTAGGTTTTGTCTTTCTAGTAGATAAACATAGTACTTGAGCTACTGCAACATATTATTTATTTCATATATGTAGCCAGGAAAATATTTTAAGGACTTTCATTTTTGCACAGATCATTCATATTCTTATGTTGTGCACCTGGAGCTGTTGTTTACAAATTGTGTGAGTGAGATATTTCAAAGATTGCAGTGAGATGGTTTAACATTAGGATCAAAATATTTAAGTTGAGGGAAACCTCTTTTTTCCCCCCATAGCCATATCCAAGAGTTACTACCAACTATGTCTGTCTTTTTTTTTCTTACTGTGAAATAATTCTTGAAGGAAGTTGTTGGTTTGCTTTTTTAATAAGGAGAAAATTAATTTTGTTCTTAGCAATGACATTTTAAAATAGAAGTTATCAATATATGCACCACTGTTCAGTCAGAGAGTCGTGCTTTATATTGATTTTTCTTTTTAGTCCAAGTGCCCTCAGGCTATGTTCATTTGAGTAAAAATGATACACTAAATACGTAATTAGATTCAACACTATTTCTAAAACTAACTGCATCTGCAATCACTAAGAAGTTATTTTAATTTGGAAATACTTTAATACATAGGTTCTACCAAAACCTATTCTAAAATGACAGTAGAAATAACAGTGTTTCTTATAAAGAGTATTTCTTCTTCATGCGTATGTGCATGCTGGGCTTTGTTACGGACCTCTGTTTTGCCTGTGATATATAACCCATAATTCTGAAGTATTCTTAACAAAATGTCTGATTTTTAGGATGTTAAAATTCTGTAGAAGTCAGTGGGACTCATCATTTATTTAGACTTGTTTAAGCATCATCTTCAGGGGGAGCCAAAATTTTACTGTGAGCAGTAACCACATTAGTATGTTATTTTACACAATTGTAATTGATAACATAGGACCCAAACCTACCACCCTTGCCTAGATGAGGAATCCTTTTTAATTTCAGATAAATGCTTTGATATATCCAGAGAGAGGTGGTTGCAGGGGAAGGAGCAGAAGGTGAAACACCTTTCACAAATCATGTTTGAAGGCACTTGGATTGTGCCCTGTTTCGGACTGGTTTTCTTTCCAGCCTTTTGTGTGTAATACACTGTTCATTCGATTGCATTATCCACACGTGTGACATCTTTGCATGAAACAGTGCATTTTTTAATATACCTTGGTGGCTGTTTTGTGTGGTTGCACTTATTAGTGGTGAAACCCACCCTGTGATCAATTCACGAAGTCAATGCGCTTCTGCGAAATCCTAATGGTGAGAAAATGTTACTTGGACGTACTCAAGCTGAGTTTCAATTTGAAGTAAAATAAAGCCAAGTACGTGAATGTCAACAAACTTGTTTATAGGGGTGGGTGGTAAAGCATACATTATTTAGACGGTTGAGTCATGAGGCTGGTCGGGTTTGTCATGTTACATCTGGCACGTCAGTCAAAGCTGGGGCAGCTGCCGCCTGTCACTAGTGCTCTGGTGGGGCATTGTCCAGTGTTAGCAGCCAGCAACCCCAGCACTCTGGGGAGGAACACTTCACCTGGGCCTGGGCTCATTTGCAGCATTAGCACTGCAACCACTTTTGAGACTCCTTTGCAGAAGAAGGTGGCTTCGTTTCACAGAACAGCTGATATTTTTCGTACCTTTTATTAGACAAAATGTTCAAATAGTAGTGGTGAGGTTTGTTAGTTTACAGAAAAAAAGTTTGCACTTGATATTATAAAACGTTTTGCTATATGATTTACTTCCAAACCACCTTAAGTAGTTTAATTTGAAAAAGTGATGTCAAAAGTCAATATGCAGTCATAGCAAAATTCAGTAAATATGGAGAACAACACCATCCAAGTCCTTATTAATTTTCATCATACATTGCCACATGAAAGATGTGTATGCACTAAAAAAATTAATTAAAATTATATTTATCACTACTAAGTGCAAATCTCTGTGTTTGAGCTACCAGTACACTTAAGTCACTATGCTTGTACTCGAATTCAGTAAAGTAGAAGTTCTGACAATTGTAACAGATGTCCTCCTTTAGCAAAATTAATGGACATTTTTAAGTGAAGCTTTATCCTTATGGTCAAAGATGAATTTAGTGATTTACTGAAAGTCAGATAGTGCTTTAATTATGTCTCTTCAATTTATATTTTATCCAAAATAAATTTAGTTTTGTATTTCAATCCATATAACTTTCTATTGCTCACCACCTGGAATAATCTCAAGTTGGTTCCTCTGGGTTAGAAAGAGGAAACAACAAAACAAAAAACCCTCTGGGTCTCCTGACAAAAGAAATACTAGCCTCAGGTTTTGATAAAAGCACAGCATGTATTTTGGCAGGGGAAAGGAGGTCGAGTACCAGGGGCTTTTGCTTTCTTATACAGCTGGAATGTCTCCTACCAAGTTCAGGGCATGAACCTGCTGGTCAGCTCTTCTTTTGAGAATTGCAGTTTGCACCTGTTGTGAAGCATGATAAGGAAAGCAAAGAGGGATCCCTTTTAGGAATTTGGAAGGAATGTTTATTCAGGCTCTGGAGGACAAGAACAGTAATTCTACCTGCCTGCTGTGGTGGAGAACATGCAAAAAAAATTGTGCTTCCTGCCAACAATAAGGGGCATGTTAAAGCCGGGTAGATGAGGCTTATTCTTGGTGAGATGCAGGTCATGGTGGAGATCGCATGTCAGGACATAATTTTTTAGACGTATTCCTTTTGTTTCTTTGCAGCTTTTTAGATACAAGTCCAAATTTGCCTCAGTCTTCAATGTGTGTATGTATGTGACAATGAGGAAAGATAAGGATGTTTGTGTCACGTGACTACTTTGACTTAATGATTACCTAGTGTCTGATAAATTAATTATTCTTAATTATGAAGTTCACAGACAAGAATATTTCATGCAAAGTACTTCTTAAGTTGGGTTAAAGAATCTTCATATTAGTTTAATATTTTGAATATTCATTGTTGCTTTACTGAATTGCCATTCATTCTAATCTGAATGACACTGACAATTAAAATAACATTATTATAGAACTGTCACTGATTTCTAGGGAACTTTCATAGTAAAGGATATTTTTCAGTAATAAGGAAATTCAGTTTTATTGTGAGATGAAGTAAGTGGTTTGATTAGAGATTTTAATTTCATTTTATTCTCTTGCTTCTAGTTTTGCAGTCTATTCCAGAAGATACACATATACAGATGGACTCTCAGTTCCCATTTATGTGTCAGATCAGTGATGAGTTGAGAAGACATACACTTGAAAAACTGTTCATACATTTTATCAGAAGTTTTGTTCGTTCATCAATGAAAAAATAATAGAGCAAAGGTTCAGTTCCCACTAAAGGATGTTACAAACCTTTCTATCTTTGTTTGAACTTCCTAGGTTTTTATCTCTCATTGGAGGAAACGCAAATGACATAGGAAAATCAGATATGCAACAAAAAGTAAATGTGGTAATTCAAAAGGAAGGAATGGAAGGCACAGCCAAAAAGCTCAATACCACCGTGCACACGCTGCAGCTGATCATTGATGGTCTCACTCAGCCTGAAGGCTATGACATCCGCACAGGTAAACCTCAGTTTGGAAGGTTCTAATCTCAGTTTGCTTGTTCCACATATCAGTTTTAAAACAGCACATTTTCTTTTTCTAAAATCAGTACTTTCATGGATGTGTAACTCCATTTCTTTTCTCAGTCAAGGTAAAGGCTATATCATAGTCAGATGTTTCTTTTCAGTTTTGTAGGTAAGGAGTGTGAATCCTGTCTTAAATCATGGCAATTTTCAGCCACAGGAAGGGGAGTTACATGGCTGTTAACAAATGAAATAATTTCAATATGTTGGCTCTCTACTGATTGTAGTGGTATTGAACAGTTTGAGGTAGAGGAAGAGAAAGATGAAGTAAAACATCTGGGCATGCTGTAGTGTAATGAAACTTACAGCTGGATTCTCTTACAACAGCAGGAGATAAAGGTAGACAGCAAAGATGCAGGCTTGTAGTGATATATAATAAATGTATGCTTAAAAAACAGCCAAACCAACATTTCTTTTTTATTTCATTAATGGTTTCTGTGCTTATTTTTTAAATATTCCCCACTAGTGATCTTGAAAATGTGTATTTTCGATGTCTCAATTTGTTCTGATGATCTCACATCTAAATTACAGTAGGATAGACTATTAACATAGGGAGACATAAAAGCAAAAGAGAGAATCTTCAGTGGAAATGTTCATATTCTGCTGATCTAGGACATTCAGTATTACTTTAGACAGACTCTGTGGCTGCAGAAGGCAGCCTAATAGCTTTATGTAGCTGTGTGGATTCCTCCATCTTGAGTTTTTCCCATGGGCTGCAGTTCTTCGTGAGCTGCTCCAGCATGGGTCTCTTCCATGGAGTAAAGTCCTTTAGAAACAGACTTGCATTGTTCCCTAATGAGGTCATTAGTCCTACCAGAAAACCTGCTCCAGTGTGGGCTTCCCACAGGGTCACAGCCTTCTTTTGGACATCTACCTGTTCTGGTAGGATCCTCCATGAGCTGCAGGGGAGTCTCAGCTCTGGCATCTGGAGCTCTTCCTCCTCCTTCCCTTGGTGTCTGCAGAGCTGTTTCTGTCACATATGCTCACTTCTCTCTCCCAGGCTGCAATTGCTGTTGCACAGAGATTTTCTTTCTTTTAAAAATATTTTATCCCAGAGGCACTTCCCACCATTGTTAATGGGCATGACCTTGGACAGCAGTGAACCTATTTGACACAGGCAAAGCTGCAGAAGCCACCACTCACAGTAGCCCACATACACACCTACCAAAACATTGCCATGCAAAGCCAATACAGATCCACAGACTAATTAAATTCCAGTGCATTTTAGCTATAAACTTTTTCAGGCTGAATTTTATTTCTCAAAAGCAAACAGAGAAAAATTATTGCAATTCTGGTTTGGTGATGCTCCTTGTGGAAAATCTCAGTCCTTATATCTTGGAAAGGTCAAACTATAGGAAAAGATTGAAAGAGAAGTTGCTAAGATGGCTCAGAAGGATTTTCTGCAGAATCAGAAACTGGTAGTGAAATAAGAGTTTAAAAAAAAAACTAACTGTGCCCTTAAATGCAGAATGTGAACATTAATATCCCAATATTATGCCTGCTTATGATCATGCTTATGTGATTTTCAAGCTGTTGGTGCAAAGCAACACTGTGATAAAGCTTGTATAATGTCTTGGTACAGATAAAAAGCAAGCCTAAGAACAGTGCATTGCTGACTTTTCTTTTGGTATGTGGTGAAACTGAGTATTCATCTTCCTGTGAATGTGCAGAAATTTCTACAGGAGTAGAATTTCATGTATAATTGATGTAGCTCGAGTCACCTCAAGTATTTTCACCCTCGATCCCAGAAAATGTAAAGAATCTCTCAGTCACTGCCTACTATACAACATGCTTCTGATCCCCTTATGATATTTTCATAACACAAAATTCAGTATACTTGTTACTTCAATAATCTAAGTCTTTTAAAGTGAGTAACAAAACAAGTTGTTTATCACAGATAGGTCTTTATTTAAAAATGTACAGAAAGCAGTATTTGGGACCTAAGAGGTACCTTGGGATGGACTTATTAATTAGAAACTATAATCTGGAAACAACTCCTATAAACCCTTTTTCTCCAGAACCTTATTTGTGTTTCTTGTTTCCTGTAACAGATTTTGATAAACCTGACTTCAAGAGAAGCATAGTCTGCTTTGAAGACTTAAGTGCTGGTGCTGTTTTGACTGGAAAAGTTGAAAATGCAACGCCATTTGGAGTTTTTGTTGATATTGGTGTGGGAAAAGCAGGCTTGATTCCAGCGCGAAACATAACAGAAGCAAAACTATCTAAAGTGAAGAAGAGAAGAAGCCTGGGCCTAGGTCCTGGAGAAAGAGTGGAAGTTAAAGTGCTTAATGTTGATATTCCTCGATTGAGGATAACATTGGATCTTATTCGTGTTTTATGAGAGGGGTTTCAGTAATTGAGCCTTGACTTTAAAGGATGAGTAATGTCAGCAAGGTTGTGGAGACTCAGGCATTTGCACATTTTGAAACGTTCAGCGCCTTTTTAATTTTTTTTATTTTTTTTGGTTTTACAGTTTTCAGTTTTACCACATTTCTTGAATCCTTTCTGTTGATAATTGTTGGAACAGATTTTGGATTACCTCCAAGCAACCTTGTTATTTTGTCTGCAGTGCAAACGAAGTTCCAGTGGGCTGTCAGACAGATCTCTTATCTGTTGTCTGTGCAAGATTTGCTGTCTTAATCTTCAGTTAGTACTGCACAAGCAGACACATCTATAGTTCCTCTCCTGAAAAACAGCCATTCTGTTTCCCAGTTTTCTGCTTGACAGTCTAAAAGAAGGCTCCTAGTGGTAGGAAAAAAGTGGTCTTTTTAATTTAAGTGGCAATGACATTGCATCAAAAGTAGACTGAGGAAAAAGCATCTGCTAAAACTATTGGTGGTTCAGAAATAGTTATCTTTAATTTATTTGACCAATGTTATTAGGAGGTCTGTTTACCTGTATTATTTTTGCTTTCTCAGTTGTCATGGCGTAACGCAGTTGGATGTACCTTGCAGTTTAAGGAACTTTGCTCAAAGGTGTCAAAAGACATTTGTGTTGTTCTGTACTTCTGCAAAATAAAAACATCTCTGTCCATCTTTTCTCAGTGTACTGGTTCTACAAGTGATTTAGCAGTCTTAGTTGTCTTTCTTTCCAGCACATGCTTAATCACTAATGCTTTGAATGCTCACTGCTTCCTGCTAGGAGTGCCTAGCACAAGAGGTTTGTTTCTTCTAACTAGAGACTTCTTGCTTTTGTGGTGTTTTGGTGGTGTTTCAAAGGATTTACTGCTTGAGCCAAGTTTGCAAAGGACAGGTACACTGGAAGATTAGTTTTCAGCAACAGCAGATATATATATATATATGTATGTATATATGTAGTCTTTCCAGGGAGTTTTTGGTGTGTTGGGCATTTATTCCTTTGTAATCATCAAACTTGCCTGTAAGTTGGCAGAAGCTCTGGTCTGCAACAGATGATCCCAAATGTGCTATAGCAAGTGTCAAACATCTTCCATGACAAGTTTTCTAACTACAAATGTCCAAGTAGCTGCTGGCACAGGGTCTATGCATGAGTTAGGAAAAGATTAGCGTGGTTTAATCTCCCAGCTCTGTGCTTTAGTTTTCAAAACGATGAGCCAGCTGTAGACAGTGTGTTTTGGAGATTAAAGAATAATTTAGCAGATGGAAAAAAGGAAGACAGATCTTACTAGCTTCACTGCATTTGTCCACTGAAGAAAAAACAGCCATTTTCTATTACGTTAAAGTCAGCACAGCTTGGAGTCATGTTTTGCAGGCCTTTTGAAATTTTCCTGTAATACTTCTGCAAGGTAGATTTTGTTATTATGAAAGAATACCAGGTTACTGTCTTGGAAAATAGAGATGCAAAGCAAAGAAGTTGAAATTTTTTTTTCTGCAGGTGATACATTCACTTACAGCAGTACGTCCATCAGTAGAATGATTTGTATTCAACTTTATATATGATCTCTGCAGTATCTAAGCACAAATTAACTGGATTTGCTTGGCCTTTTCTAAGGAGGACATAAACTTGATTTCCTGAAGCTCAATTTAGTGAATAGTATAAAGAGTATTTTCTCTTTCTGTGGTATTTTGTTTGGTATTGAAATTCATTTTTTTGATCCGTAATATTGTGAGGACTGTAGCATCTTTTGCATTATTGTATATATCTCTTGTATTATCAGGGTATTCTCTAAATGCAAGACATCTTGCGACTATTTCTCTCACTGTTAATTCACAGGAGGATTTTTGCCTACTCAGAGGACAGACCCACAATTCAGTGTACATACATATAAGTAGTTTGCTTTCTCCGTAGTGGAACTCAGCAGCTTATCCTGTGTCATCGCAGGGACTGTAGGAGAATATCATGTTTATCTCTTCGAATTTTTTTAACCACACCAAAATGGGAAGTCTGTGACTTCATGTCATTTGTCTTAAATATCTGCAGCTCTGCAAATGTAATCCCATTATTTGTCAGCTAGTGCAGTGCCTTAACTACTTCCCACAAAAATATTTTTCCATTGCAATTTCTTTTTTTCTTTGCCAGAACACAGCAGTTAAAAGAGCCCAGTGAGAGTCTAACAAGGATGAATATGCGTACATATGAACTTCTCAGGTTTTGTCAGATCTTTAGAGATTCAAAAATTATTTCTTCTTAATCTAACTCTCAGTTTTCATCTTCAATTCTTGTGGTGTTCAGATTTCTGACATCAAAGCATCAAAACTGTTTTCTGTAATTCATCTCCCCCTTTAGTTTCTGAACCAAGATTTTTTTTTTTTCTGGATGGATGCTTTTTCTCGTTTGAAATGCTGTCCAATCTTTTGAACAAATTCAATACAGCTTAATGGTGATGCCTTCAAAATTTTGAACAAACAAACAAACCCCTTCTTTCTCCTGATCTTAGTTAATTGCTTCAAAGTACAGTTTCTCAGAAGAATTAAATACAAGTCTTTGAGTCTCACTAAAAATTATACTTTTGCCTTAAGCTGTAGATTCCAAGGCATCTACACACCTTGTAGTGTAGTTCCACCTCTCCCTAGAGAGAAAATACAGCCCATTGATCTTGGATGACAATCTGCCTTTTTAGTCCCACCTTCACTCAAGTAGTCTGGTATTTTGCAATCACCTCCCCCTGATATGCAGACTCATAAGAAGAGCTTCTAAAGATTTCCTGTGCTTCAGATATTACACAAAGGAGAAGAATTCTTCTATTAAGCAAGATGGCACTTGTATGCCTGGCTGTGGTAATGCAAAACAAGAGTTTAAAAGAAGCCATTTGTTTTGGTTTTATTCCTGCCTCAGGCAGTTTTAGACAGCATATATCAATTTTCCAGAAACTTGTCAACCTCAGGAATGATTTAGTATGCTGTTAAACATAATAAAATCAATAGGAAAACAAATAGAATTTCCATGAGGAGCAGACATTTGGAGAAGCTGGTCCATATGGCATATAGACATGCTGGAATTTGGGCTTTGTGGGGTACTTGTGTTAGAAAAACTGCATACCATGGGTAAGTAATGCATAATTCAGGAGAACAAATAATCTAACAGCTTTGTGGTAGTGCGTCTTGAACTTGGTGTCTGTATTTATTTAACAACAAATACACTTAGAAACTCTATGCCTGTAAGCTAGAAACCAAACATGAATCATATTTGCCTAATTTCAGAGCTTTCTATAAGGAGCCTTACCCACTGTGAAGTGAGTGCTGAGTGAGTTCTTGGTTCAGCCTGAATAGTGCCTTGCTTTTCTAGACTTCCTGAGGGTAGTTTATGTACCTACTTAGCTCTGCTTAAGGACATCCAGCTTCAAGACTATCAATCCTGTACGACAGTGGAAGGAACTAGTCGGTAATCCCAGACTCTGTATGTCCCTTTTGTTGAAGGTTTCAGAAAGAGCTTTGAGGGAGCTCGTGTGTCTCCAGGGCTAAGTAGAGGTTGGGCAAGTCAGTAATTCCACTCCTTCCCATTAGAGACCACCTAAAGGTTTGAGAGCACCTCTGTTTACTGGTCCAAACGTTTCCTCACCAGCCTCATGGGCACGTAGAAGCTGTAACTGTTCAGAAGTGTTTCATTTTGAAAAATCCTTTTGAATCCATACTCTATAAAGCTTCACAAGTAAATGATGTGTCTGTGTTTCTCACAGCAAACCTCAGTGACTAGTTTATAGAGAACTTCAATTGCCTGTTGCCACTTGAGCCTCTAAATGGTCCCTCTGGTGGATGTTGTAACTCTGTGCTGGCTACAGGTACCTCCTGCCAGGAGGCTGTTGGAGATCACTGCTTAGTGACAGGCATTTCTAGGAGCTGACCATCTAATCCACAGTAGAATTATGGTTGGGTATTTTTTCAGATGGATATAAGTCACTCATAACAGCAACTGATGGCAATTTGTAGACACCTGGAGTTGAATGGCAAATCATAAGTGTATGTATTGCACCACAGCCTTTACTACAGCTTCTGCAAGCTGGAAATAGTAAAATTCTGCAACTTGGAAATAACAAAATTCTTCAATCTGGGAGGAACCAGTGCAGGAGTATTGCTTCTATGTGAGCTTCCACAATGGGGATTGCTGGTTTTAATCAAGTCTCTTGGGCTTTATGCTGTTTCTATAACTACTAGGTCTCCTGTGAGTATGTTTTAGCTGCATCAAGAGCCCTAAGAGATTCTCCATGCTTTGAAAGTGAGAGAGGACTGGTGGCCATGTTCAGATCAGGATGTGTCATCCCACTGAGAATTTTAAATCTAACCAGGTTCAGGGTAAAGTACTCAAATCTCATCTCACATGCTCTCTGTCCCTGACTAGGAGCTGACACACGTTTGAAATTGATTACCTTGCCCCTTGTTTCACTAGTTGGAGCTTTTATCTTATTTGACTTTTAGAATTTAAAAACACTAAGGCATATTCAGCACAGCAGTCTAGTTGATAATATTACAAATTTTTGTATCCCTCTCTTGTTCTCCAGAAAACACAACAAAGAAAGGAGCATTTAGTAAACTGAGGAATCCCATGACTTCTTTAGGTTTAAATCTGGTTTAATTCAGGCTTTTAATTGTTGAGACGTGGTTCTTGAGCAGTAATGAGGAGACCAGCACCTTGGAAAAGTTAATTAGTGTTATTTTCTCCTTATCTTACAGATCCATTTATCCTTACTACACTTGTATGTTACTAAATGAAAAGTGCTTTCGGTATCAATCAGCTAAGCTGGAGTTTTGCATTCTCATTTCTCAATGACAGTTGTATTTCAAGGAAAGACTGCCTTTATTTGTGGTCAAGCAGAGAAATTTTTGCATGTGACTCACAATGAGGTATGTGGAAATAATGTCATGAGAGGAACTGTTATGCTTGAGGGTCATTTACAAACACTGAATAGAAGTGAAATCTTAGGAAAGTACTTTCACCTCAGAATTAAATGTGTGGAATATCTTGGCAGAGAGTGAAAACTGCCACATACCAGAGGC